TGTACATCCCAGAGAGCAGGGTCAGAGGCTTCTCAGAGGCAGCAGCAAGCCTTGAAGCAGTGCCCATATTTTGATGGGCCTGCTGCAGTCACACTCCATGAGAGCATGATGGCCCTTGGCACCTTGTTCTGGCATGGGAGGAAGACTCTACTCATGCCCTGAGCAAGAGAAGAAGCCTTTCCTTTCCTTTCCTTTGGAGGGTGATGGCGGGGGCGGGCAGTTGGTGCCCTTTTGGCAGCTCTCCATGGGACTTGCTGTGGTGAGCTGGAGCTGCCACACCCCAGGGGACTCTGCCAAGGGCGTTGGGTTACTAAAGAAAAACTGGGGCAAGACCTGCAAGGTTGTACATCTGCTGTTGTTTTTTAGGCTTGTGAAGGCAAAGTCTTACCTCTTTTCATGTCACGTTCCACTTTTTTCAAATATCTGCTTCTTCAAGCCTGTACTATTTGGCATTGTGTGCACCATATCTGAAATGCCCACCTGCAGCCTTCACCTCGTTTGTCCTGCCCAGCAGGGATTTCTTACACTGATAGCCCTGGCAGAGGGACTGTGTAAAGCATCAGCCTGGACTTGAGTTCTTACAGATCTGTGTGTGCCTGGAATTCCAAGATGGAGTTTGACTCCCAGGCTATGGCTGGGAGCACGCAGTGGGCATCCTTTCTGGCGTTTGCTTTGGCAACGAGTGCAGTCTCTGAAACTCCACTTCCCAGAGATTAGCAGACAATGTCTATAGAGAATTATTTTGACAGCTTGGGTTTTAGGCAGCTTATTCTGCATTTTGGCTTTGGCTGGGATGCCACATGACATTTAAAAAAGCAGCTGAACTGAGTGGACATCTGCTGTCACAAAGGGGATAGTTAAATTTACAGGCAGGCATAAACTGGGCTGAATTAAAAAGGCAACAAACTGCCACCCTACTAGGGAACATAAACATAATGGCTGCAGCGAGCACTGTTTGTTTTGTTAGGGTTTTTTCCTTCTTTCTTTCTTTCTTTCTTTCTTTCTTTCTTTCTTTCTTTCTTTCTTTCTTTCTTTCTTTCTTTCTTTCTTTCTTTCTTTCTTTCTTTCTTTCTTTCTTTCTTTCTTTCTTTCTTTCTTTCTTTCTTTCTTTCTTTCTTTCTTTCTTTCTTTCTTTCTTTCTTTCTTTCTTTCTTTCTTTCTTTCTTTCTTTCTTTCTTTCTTTCTTTCTTTCTTTCTTTCTTTCTTTCTTTCTTTCTTTCTTTCTTTCTTTCTTTCTTTCTCTTTCTTTCTTTCTTTTCTTTTCCTATCTTCCTTTCTTTCTTCCTTTCTTTCTTTCTTCCTTTCTTTCTTCCTTTCTTTCTTCTTCTCTTTCTCTCTCTCTTTCTCTCTCTTTTTCTCTCTCTTTCTCCCCCAGTTTTACAGGGAGTAAACTCTACCCACTTATTGATCTAATTTGGATAAATGATTCACCACTCTTCTCAGATTAATACTAGGCCTTCTGAATACAGTTGAAGTTTGGGAATATTCAGGGAAATGGCCTCTCCAGGAGCAATATCTGCCTGAAAACAGCTGGTGGTACTGCCTGACACCACTCTTTAACAGACCATTTTCTGGCCTCAGAGAACATAGGTGAGACTACGTGGAGAGCTCGCGGGAGAAAGAAAACAACTGAATTTTTTTTTTTTTTCATGTTAATCAATCAACTGAATTATTTAATGTCTTTTTAACAGAGAAGCCTAGGTGATATTTTACTTATTGCATCCCAGGATACTGGGCATTATTATGCAGCTCTGCTGTGCCCAGAGACGCACCACCACCACTGCTTTTTACTCTCTATATAAACCTGTTAATAAATAACACTGTTCATGAAATATTTTAAGACCTAGCTGCCATGTACTTTCAGACCCTCCCTGCAGGCCAGTGAGGAGGGATGTAAAGGTGGTGTCTTCCCTGCACGTCAGGGTGGGGTTTTTTTGCAAGGTTGGGCCTTAGAACCAGTGACTCCCTCCTGGTGACCCACCTGATGTTGGAAACATCCAAATTGTCCCTGAACCAGAGACCTCACCGGTGGCATGTGTGCAGCTCACAAAGTGGGTAGGTTTCTAGTGCATTTCCCTTGTGAACCACATGCACAGATGGACATCTTAATCACCTCAAGAATACCTGGCTAGCATAACTGGGCAAGCTGATGTCCTGGCTGGACTTCAGTCATTGGTCTCATTATGGGAAGATGTGCCACCACCTGTAATGCAAAACACCATCAAAACATTGGTTTTCTTCTGCCTTTATTAAGAGCTTTTCTTTCCTAGTTCCAGCAGCATGCAGCAACAAACACCAGGTTCCCTCTTCACTGCCAGCTGTAGTCTAGCTGTGTCATATGTTGGTCACTGCTGTTATTACTAAGCAATAGTATCAGGTGTCATAATAAAAGGTAAAATTACACAGGAATTATTATACAATAATAATATAATTGCTTTATTGGGGACTCATTCCATGACAGACTACAGGAGAGAACGAAAGCACTAGTATAATGTGGTATTAATGGTATTATGTGGTATCAGAGGCCCATGCTAAGGCAGTATGGGCATGGGGGTCCCTGAGGTCCTCTGCTGCAGCAGCTGAGGGATGACCAGGAAGGACACACACAGATGGCAGCTGCCAGTGGCACTCCAGCAGCATGCTCAGTTTAGCCAGGTAGCCCTGCTGACAGGTGTTCCCTTTGCTGCTTAAGCCACACTGAAAGTGCATAAGGAGTGTTTGGCTTGGCTTATAGGAATCTGTGCTGGTGCCACTCGCACTGCAACAGCTGGAGCTTCACCAAGGCATGTCCCCAGCAGCCACCACAGTCAGGTAGGGGTTTAACACCTGCTGTATCTGCTGTGCTACAGACCTTTCTACTTCAGTTATAGCTTACTGACGTTAAAATGCAGGGCAGCTGTCAAAACATCAAGTACTGCACTGTGGACAAATAAGGACCGTTTCAGTTTAAAAACAACAAACAAATCCTGTATGTTCATGGTCAGATAGCAGGCATAGTGAGCAATGGCAGCCCCCAAGGCCCAGTGCTCACCACCTGCTGTGTTTACATGGCAGGCAAACACCAATCACTGCAACTGGCCCCAGTGGTTTCCCCACTAGTTCATTTTGCTGCTTTGCATCTAAATCCAACTGCCAGAATAAATCCTACATCTTCAGTAGGCCTACAGTGCCTACACAATTGCACACACTCAGACAGCCAGGTATAGATCTAAGCCATCACGCTATAAATATTTTTCTATCCTGGTCCCGTAGGTTAGAGGTTAAGTAGGTTCAGGCTAATCTTGATTTGTGACCCAGCTTCACATATACTGCCAGTGAGATTAAGCCTTTTTCTGGCAGCAGGCTGCCTTCTGTGGGCGGTAATGAAGTCCATACACACTAGATGGCCCCAGGAGAACACAGCAGTGCTTGCAAATCATAACCAAAACCTTCTGGTTTGGAAGAAAGAAAAGAGAAAGAAAGAAAAGAAAGAAAGAAAAGAAAGAAAAGAAAGAAAGAAAGAAAGAAAGAAAGAAAGAAAGAAAGAAAGAAAGAAAGAAAGAAAGAAAGAAAGAAAGAAAGAAAGAAAGAAAGAAAGAAAGAAAGAAAGAAAGAAAGAAAGAAAGAAAGAAAGAAAGAAAGAAAGAAAGAAAGAAAGAAAGAAAGAAAGAAAGAAAGAAAGAAAGAAAGAAAGAAAGAAAGAAAGAAAGAAAGAAAGAAAGAAAGAAAGAAAGAAAGAAAGAAAGAAAGAAAGAAAGAAAGAAAGAAAGAAAGAAAGAAAGAAAGAAAGAAAGAAAGAAAGAAAGAAAGAAAGAAAGAAAGAAAGAAAGAAAGAAAGAAAGAAAGAAAGAAAGAAAGAAAGAAAGAAAGAAAGAAAGAAAGAAAGAAAGAAAGAAAGAAAGAAAGAAAGAAAGAAAGAAAGAAAGAAAGAAAGAAAGAAAGAAAGAAAGAAAGAAAGAAAGAAAGAAAGAAAGAAAGAAAGAAAGAAAGAAAGAAAGAAAGAAAGAAAGAAAGAAAGAAAGAAAGAAAGAAAGAAAGAAAGAAAGAAAGAAAGAAAGAAAGAAAGAAAGAAAGAAAGAAAGAAAGAAAGAAAGAAAGAAAGAAAGAAAGAAAGAAAGAAAGAAAGAAAGAAAGAAAGAAAGAAAGAAAGAAAGAAAGAAAGAAAGAAAGAAAGAAAGAAAGAAAGAAAGAAAGAAAGAAAGAAAGAAAGAAAGAAAGAAAGAAAGAAAGAAAGAAAGAAAGAAAGAAAGAAAGAAAGAAAGAAAGAAAGAAAGAAAGAAAGAAAGAAAGAAAGAAAGAAAGAAAGAAAGAAAGAAAGAAAGTACTCCAAATCCCTTCTCATAGAACTATTTAGATTGACTTTTTCAAGATGACTGAAGGATGATGAACAACTCTTCCAGGGGAAGCCAGAAAATGCAAAATATTGAAATGGGACTGAAATTTTATATTTATACAATAGAGATGAACTTCAAAGATATAAGAGCAGCCAACAGACAGTTTGGTTGCTGTTTTCATTACTAGCATGTAAGAATGGAGGGATGTGGGGAGTGGTGTGGGGCAGAGAGAAGTTTTGGGGAAAAACAGTGCCGTACTTCTTATGTTTCCCTGATAGAGCAACTACATTTAAGAAGTAGGTTTCTTGCTCATCATATGAAATATTGCAACCTGCACAGAGCTGTGGACAGGTTTTGAGGCCTGGTAGATTGTGCAAGACAGCCAAATGACAGCTGTGAAATCTGTCCCTTAATGCGGTTTTCTGCCGTGATAAATAAGAGTTTGAGACAGACCCCTTGAAATAGTAATAATAATAACAACAACAACAATTATAGAAATCCCACAATGTAAATTGGCTTGGTTAGCTATTTGTAAGGACTTGGTAAAGTAAGTGCTTTTGGCTTCCTCATCATATTACCAAATGAATAAACACGTCTGTCAGAATCCCCACAGCTAAAGAATAAATGCCAAGAGTGGTCCCAGAGGTGACTTTTTAGCACATTGACACAGGCTATGATCCATAGTACATGTCTCCTTTAGGGTTGGGTCCCCAGCAGGATTTATTTCTGCGTCAAGGCAGATTACAGCTAATAAGATTTGCTCCTTGGAGGCTGTTGGCATGTTGGGTGCTTTCTGCACAGTGCTTTCTTAAAGGAGAATATGGACTCTATTTGTCGTATTTTCCTTCTTCTTCTGGCCTTCCACAAGATAAATCCATCAGCTTCGTCTTGTGTCACAGGATGCTCTTGTTCTCAAGACAGCTTTGGAAGGTAAGATTGCAGGTTACCCTAGCTGTAGCACCAGCAAAGCAGGTCAGAGATTCCATACTTATTTATTTCTATATACATATTTATTTATATATTTATATATGTATAGATATATTTGCTGATGTTGCAAGCACCAAAACCAAACATATGGCCGCATGGTATGCCTCCTCTAACACTAGAATGTTACTAGCTTGAGCACAGAATAAGATTTTTTTCCCTGAGATATGTAGTTCCCTATGTAGCAATTTTTATGACTTAACTGCAGTCTTTGTGGAAAAATAGGTGTTAAACCAAACTGAAGGGTAGATGGATGGCTTATGCATGCCCTGTATACAATACTGAATAATTATTCAAGGCTCTGTAGACCTTTACAGGGAAATGGTTTGTTAGCCAAACATCGTGTGTGACCTAGAGAATTTTCTGGTTTCCTCCTTAGGAGCTTGCTCTGCATGTCTACATCACTGAGGCAGATCCCTGCAAACATTCCTCAGGATATCCGGAAAATCAGAATAGAAAATTCTCACCTAACAGAATTGCCTCGTGGGTCTTTTGAGAATGTTAGTGCCTTGGAGTATCTCTGGCTCAATTTTAACAACATCACAGTGATGCACATTAAGAGCCTGGAATATCTGCCAGCTCTGAAGGAGCTGCGCTTGCAAGGGAACAAATTAAGTTCGGTGCCATGGACAGCATTTCAAGACACTCCAGCTCTGAGAATCCTGGATCTGAAGCACAACCGGCTGGATGTTCTTCCAGAACATGCGCTCCGCTATCTGCCCAACCTGACCTATTTAGATCTATCCTCAAATCAGCTTACCGTTATATCCAGGGATGTCTTCTACAGCTGGCCTGTCTACCAGAGAAGCCAGAGGGCAGAGAGGCACATAGAAGCTATTTCCAATGCTGTCCTGGCCCTTCATGACAACCCCTGGATTTGTGACTGTCGCTTGCGGGGGTTTGTCCAGTTCATCAAGTCGGTTGGCCCACCTATTATTCTGATGAATTCCTATTTAACTTGCTCAAGCCCAAAATTCAGAGCAGGGAAATTTTTTCATGAAGTGGAGCTAAACAGCTGCATGAAGCCCCTGACCTCAGCCCCTGACACCAATCTGACAGTCCCTGTGGGGCTGAACATCACCCTGACCTGCTTTGTGCAAGGCAGCCCTTCCCCAGCTGTGTGGTGGACCTATGCACTCAAGCGCTTCAGGGCATTTAATGGTAAGCAAAGCTTTTTCTTGTATTTACATTAAGAGTTTATGTTCTGCTATTCTACTTACTTACTGTCTTCAGGCCATCACAGTCACCACAATAGCTCTCAGCCTGTCTAGAGTTATTGTGGTGGTTATAATCTTAATCATCCTACATGTCTATGCACATTTTACCAGCACAAGAACTGCTTTATGCAGGATATCAGTCAAAGATGGGAGGAGCAAAGCCTCATTTTTACACAGTTGTGTGGATTTTGAGTAGTATTAATAATAAATCAGCCATACATATATAATAAATAATATGTAGTTATCTAGACACACGTCTGTTTACACTATATATTATGTAGTACATATATATATATGCACATTCTCCATAGAATTATATTTACATGTGTGCTTGTATGAGCACACACACGTATGTTTCTATACCCATAGCTTCCTCTAGAAATATCCACACAAACCATAAAACCCTGCAGCTCTGTGTCCATTAATGTTCTATAACCAAAACAGAGGTGGTAATTCTTCACAAGCCTGGCTTATTTATTTTCTTTATTGCATGTCTTGTAATACAAGGCCTTTTCCTCTTCCTCCCCATCCAGCTCAGCTCTTACACACTCACACTCTTCCTCACTTGTATTTTTACTAAGAGCCTTCAATAGGACAAGCTGCTATTTTCATCAGGTAAGCTAATACTGGATACAGGCACTGCCCAGGCTATGTGAGTTCCTATAAGCCAACTAGCTAAATAAGATAGCATTAGCCCTTAATCGTGGCCTGATATTTGCTTTAATTGCAATGTTGTAGCAGCTCTTGTGCATCTTTTCACAAGCACATGCTGACTTAATTATATAATTTTTTTTCCCACCCACAGTCATGAGTCCCTGTTTGGGTGGATGACAGGATGGTTCATACTGTTCTTAAACCTACAACTCACTTCCAGCCTGACATTTCTGGTTCCACAAGCTTCTTTTGGGCCTGAGCCTCTTGAGACCAATGTTTTTCCACAGTCAATCTTAATGGGTCCAAAATGCAGCCGTGCCTCCTGCACCTCCCTGGCTTGCCCTAACCTGAGCACATCGATGGCAGATGGCACATGGGCAGCTTGGACCCTGCTGCAACAGCCTCTTGTGCTTGAAAGGCAGGAGGGGAAGGCATAGGTTAGACACATGCCCCTACTCTTCCGGGAGTGGCTGGCCAGGTGCATTTAATGCTGCTTGGCCCAGACAGTGCTTTGCTGATAAGCTCTGTGGGGTTTGGCGCATGCCTGTACCCCTCTGGGAGTGGTCCTGACCCCTAGGGCACCCAAAGATGGTTCCCAGTGCCTGCTGACATAACTCCCCTCTGCTCACAGTGTCCACTGAGCCCATCAACGAGGAGACTGTCCGCTCAGAGCTGCTGATCCCAGCAGCACGGCCAGCAGATACCGGCAACTACACCTGCATGGCTGCCAACTTCTTGGGCAACATGTCAGTGGCCATCACCCTGCATGTGGGGGCCCCGTGGGCATCCACCACCACCCCAGGATGGGCCTCCATCGTCCCTGCTGAGCCAGGTGCCCACGTAGAAGTGCACATCGCTAAGCAAACCGTCTATGGCATCACCCTGGAGTGGTTTGCAGCTGCAGCGGCAGCAGCAGAACCAGGTGAGACCTGGTACACGCTCCTGGTGGGCCGCTACGATGCCGCCCAGAAGGACACCATCTATATTGGCCCAGGCATCAACACATACTCAGTGACTGACCTGCTGCCTGCTACCAAGTACGAGGTCTGCGTCGCGGTGCGAAACCAGGCACCCCGTAAGGGCCAGTGTGTTGTCTTCGTCACGGGCAGCGACATCAGCCAGCTGGAGCAGCGCGAGAAGCTCATCCACATCATCGTCATCGTCTGTGCCATGGTGCTGGCCGTGCCT